GAATCGTTTTTCGATTGAAAACAGAGGAAGTTTCGACATCGCCGAGATGCCCATTCGAATTTTCCGATTGGGTTTCGGTTTCTTCCGGTTTGCAAACGGAGTTTGATTCGCCGGAGGAGAGAGTTACGAGTCTAGCGAATGAGTTGATCCCTGATTGGTCTGTCACTAATAACTGGGTCACCGTACGGTGACGATAGTGATGGAAAAACAGGGGACAAAAACAGAGTTGTAGAGAAAGGCTATAGCTTTTTTTATTTCAACTCCTAGTCAGATCCAACAATTCTAATTAAATTCGTTGTATAAATATTTGTTGATTCAAAAATTTAGTATTTGTAAATAATAAATACCCATTTTTGTATTCATGATTCTTGATGTTGATTCTCTTTAGGAATACGTATTCATTAGCCCTAGTCTTTCTCCACTCCCCAAGAATGTGAAATTTTTAAAAAGAACGTGAATTTCAGAAAGATCGTATCTTTAGGCTTAGGCACAATCTCGTCACAATCACATAAATAAAGTAAACACACAAGAATGATGGCATGGGGTTTAAAGATATTTTAACCAAGCTGTATTGGCTAATCAGCTTAATAGGTCGGATTCTTTGTTGTCACAATTGTACAAAAGTAGGTATTTTGCGAGGAAAGGCTTCTTAGATTTGGTACGGGTTCACGGACATCTTATACTTGGCAGGGTTTTCTTCATGGTCGTGAGTTGCTGAAAAAAGGATTAATAAGAGCTATCCGGCGTGGCAAAGATACCTTGGTTTGGATCAATTGATGGATTATTGATAGACAACTAAGAAGACCGAATAACAAAGAGGTGTTGATGAATATTGATTTAAAGGTGTATGCATTAATCGATAACAATGAGAAATAAAATAACAGTGAACTGAACAATTTATTTATTTTTCCGTTATATCATTCGAATCATAGATATCTTCCTACGACATCAAAAGGTGACTCGACTTCGGCCATTTACAAACACATGCTCATATTCGGTTCAAACTGGTTGTAAGTTGATTTATTCGGTGAAAACTTTAGAGAGTTATTTAGCGAGACCACATGGTTAGTTAATTTATTTTGTGACACCTATCGCAAATCATCTAGAAAAAATATGTCGAAAACAGTCCATGGTGCCGCTTTCATGTTCGAGCCAATACTAAGCAATCTCTTCGCAAAGGTATGTTTTTTGAACAAACACATATGAACTCACTTTTTTTTGTTTGTTGTCCAAGGTCTTCTATAAGTGTGCGAGGATGACCAAGCTTCTTAAAGAAAGCCTGGTCGACTTCCCAGACATTCAGATGAAGGAGAGCAAGTTCGCCGAGCTTCCATTCCAGGCGGTTTTTCGTGATCTTATTTTAGTAAATAAAGAAGGAAAGATGTATCTCCTCAGATTTTATGATGAATGGTTGCAAAGTGTGTTTTCATACGATGCATATTTAAGGCCCAATATGATCTTGCGTGTTTCGAAAATAGACTTTGAGAAGTCATATTCCATTCTCAAGCCCAACAAGTTTGTTTGCACGAAGATTGATCACTTTTGTCCTCTTTCACATTAGAGGAATGAATTAAAGTAAGAAG